GGGGGGGGGAAATCAAGGCAGTGATAGAAAATATAAAAGAGAAAATATTTTAACTAAAAGGGACATTGTAACAGATTGTAACATTGCAACAACAGAGGCATTGAAAAGCGAAAGTGAACAGTCCCTTTATAGTTGAACGATCCTGGGTTGCTTCCCACAGTCCCTTTAAAAGTTTAGAGACCCCAGGTTGATTCCTGCAGCCTATTTAAATTTTAAAGATCCCACATTGCTTCCCCAATAGCGTGAATGAAATGCAATTACGTAGCTTTCACATACTGTCAATCGCACTTCAATCATGTTATTGAGAAGCCATCCACAGGAATTCCCCCTGAAAGGTTTGTTGCTTGAGCATTGCTGGTTATACCTGGGATAAGTCTCAATTGAGCGTGACATTGTCTGAAAATATTCTGAGCGATCGTGTGATTATCCCGGGATTTTACCTTTTCCTTCCCCCTTCCTCACTACTGTCAGGGCCAGCCTTGCCCCTTGTCATTTCCCCTTTAGAAAAACAGCCCTAGGGTCTTAATATCTGAGCTGCTTATTTAGGGCAGAGAAGGGGATAGGCAAAGTACAGTACTCTAGGTGTTGTGAGATTGCATCTTCTTCTATTCTTTATCATTGCCTCATTGGCTAAGGCTGCTGGGAGTTGCAATCTAGCCACCTTTGCCCAATCCCTGGAATAGAGCACAGCATTAGTTATTTTCTCTAAGAACATTTTTTTTAAATTGCTTATTTCAGGAACAAAGATCTACTTGTTTCCTTGTTAAAGGAAGGTAGTGAATTATTAATTTAACAGATACATGACACAATGAATAATTTTCTTATGTTTTATGAAGGATGAAACACCAAACCAAATCAATTAAACCAAGAAATGAAAATTGTTTTACAGCCCCCTCCCCTTTCAAAAAAGGATTCTTTTTTTCATATGACTTATTTGAAAGTATGACCACCTTCCTTTTTTTAAAAAAAGTTTGGAATCACTTTTCTTAATTTGGTTTGTCTGTGTAAAAGGACTAGAGCTTCCTCACAGCACAATGTTGTCTGTGTCTACTCAGAGGTAAGATCTCTTAAGTTCAGAGGGATTTCTTGTTGTTATTATTGTGTGCCTTCAAGTCATTTCTGACTTATGGCAACCCTAAAGAAAACCTATCCTAGGGTTTTCTTGACAAGTTTCTTCGGGGGAGGGGGGATGCCATTGCTTTCCTCTGAGGCTGAGAAAATGTGACCTGCCCAAGGCCACCCAGTGGATTTCAATGGCTAAGTTGTGATTCGAACCCTGATCTCCAGAGTCATAGACCAAGGCTCAAGCCACTGCACCATGCCCCAAGGTTATTGCATTTACAAGACTCCAATCTTAAGGATATTTGTATTTATAGTCACACTCATATATACATATTCACTCACTCACACAATCTGCCCCTTTAGAAATTCTCTTTCTTCAGTCCTTTCAGTGCCAATTTTTAATGTGTCTCCTTGCTGAATTTCTGAACCATGTTACTAGTTTATGGCTAAATCCAGTCTCTGCTTTGCTGTGCAAGCAAGTGGACTGCTTTTAAAAAATGACAAAAGTTTTTGTTAAAATAATACATTAACATGTGAATTTACCTTCTTTGCTGAAGTCCCTGTACCTGAAAAAAAAAAAAAAATCAGGAAAGCATTAGAATACTGTTGAAATGTGTTTAGGAGATCTCAACTTGTATTTTATAACCTTACAAAGGGTGGACAAATTGTCTATAGGCTATTTACCAGAAAAGTTGGATTAAAACAAGATGAGCCCCTATTATGTATCAAGGGAGGACCCAAGGCATTACCACCCACCCACCGCACAAAACATAACGATTTGTGTATTATTCTAACAACTGTAATTTTGGTACGTGATCTTGTAGCAATTTTGTGACTAAGGGGGGTTTCAGACTGCCAGAAATAGTGCAAATTGAGTCCACTTTAAGGGTTAGGGTTAGGGCTAGGGAATAATGGGAACTGTATTTTATTGTGGCACCAGAGCTCTCTGACAGAGAAAGCTCAATGTCTCAGAAAAAAATACAATTCCCATGATTCCCTAGCACTGAGCCAGGACAGTGCCTCAATTTAATGTGCATTATTTCTGGCAGTCTGCAAAGGCCCTAAACTACTTTCTCAGAGGAAGTAGACATAAGTTTATGAAAGCTCATGCTGCCAGTCCAAAACACACTGCAGAAATCATCCAGTTTGAGACCACTTTAACTGCCCTGGCTCAGTGTTAGGGAATCTTGGGAACTGTAGTTTTGTGAGACATTTAGCCTTCTCTGTCAGAGAGCTCTGGTGCCACAACAAACTACCATTTCCAGAATTCTGTAGCATTCAGTCACAACAGTTAAATTTGTGTCAAACTGGATTATTTCTGCAGTTTAATAATAATAATAATAATAATAATAAGTTTTATTTCTAACCCGCCCCTCTGCGTCGCAATCGGGGCGGCGTACAACAATTAAAATACAACAGTTAAAACAATCCAAATCCCAATCCCTCCTCCCACTTCCCTCCCACACCCCTTAAAACAGGATTAAACTTAAATTATATTAAAACAAAGACAATATGGCAATAAAATACAATAAAAACAACAAATGCAAACAAGCCTTTGAGACCTTAGTCTCAAAGGTACTACAAGATCTCTTCAGATACTGATTATGCAGACTAACACAGCTATATATTTGAACTGTAGTTTTGGAAATTCAATAGGGTGTTGTCTTTTGTTGTTGTGAGCCTTCAACTCATTTCTAACATGGCAAACCTAAGGTAAACCTATCCTGGGTTTTTTGTGGCAAAATTGTTCAGAGGAGATTTGCCATTGCCTTCCCCTGAGGCTGAGAGCATGTGACTTGCCCGAGGTCACCCAGTGGGTTTCATGGCTGAGCAGGGAATTGAACCCTGGTCTCCAGAGTTGTGGTCCAGCACTCAGACCACTATGCCATGTATTCCCATTATATTTTGAGGCCCTCATCATTTTAATTCCCTCAGCTTTAACCTGCTTGGACAGTAGATACAGCTGTCATTGATTACCAGACTAAGAAATGAGCCTTATCAAAAGTACCTTCAATAAGTATCAGTCTTAGAGAAATGTTGACTATGTCCTTATCTGTAGTCAGATACTGAGGCAGAACAACTCTGAGGGGGATGAGGTTTGAGAAAAGAACCACTTTTTCCTTCCCCCTTTCCTTCTTGGCCCTCTTCTACCACTTGCCTGCTAGTCCTTTAAAATGATCTTCCCCATGTTGGGAGGGCTATCATAATCTTTTGCCATTTCTGAAGACAAATCAGGGGAAGGAGGCAGTTTTGGATCCAGAGGCCCCAAGGCTTCCTTTGGTCTGCACCCATAGCTTCTTTTACCACATCACTATCAGAGCCACAAGAGTAAAGCAACAGTGATGTTGGAGCTTTTCAGTACCAAAACAGGGCATCCAGCAATGATTTATGCAATGAATGTTTCAGTAGTGGAGATATGAGCCATTCAATATTCCTGCAGATTATCTCCCTAGCAGTTGAAGATTGCTTCATAGAATCCAATATATGATCAGGATCTTATCAGTCCAATATATGCTCAATATAGGAATGGTTATGCTTAGCTCATACTCCTTTCTTATGCATTTCTTTCTCTCCCCCCCTCCCCTCTGCATTTTAATTCTCTTCTTCCCCTCCTTTCTTTGGTTTCTATTTTTAAAATCCATTTTTGTTTTATTGAAAATTAAAAATAAACTATAAATTTCAACAATTAATTACGCTGCTAACAATAATGCACAGTAAACAGCCTCAAAAGAATAGAAAAGCACCACAAACTTCTTTTGGCTGTACAGAGAAAATGAAATGTATACCATGGTCCTTATGTATGAAGTCTTGGAGGTGGTACAGCAGTGGAAAGAAGTCTTACCTAGAAAGAAGCAACAGCTCACAAGGGAAAGGATCACAGAGATGGTTGTTATCTTCATGGTCAATGAAGGCAGTCTTCTCTCTGGATTCACCTGGTGTTCTGCTCTGCCCAATAGCTTACTGATACACTCAAGAGCATATATATACTATTCTATCTACAGATGCAATCTCATTCTTTACTCATATCAACAAGATTTTTAGTGATTGTTATTCTTAAGTAATTTCATTTCGGGAAGAGGTGAGGCCAGAGGAATGCTACTTTTCTTCTTTTCAGATATGAGATCAGAGATTGGCATGCTGTGTGTGTTCATGTGGTGGCAGTGGCCGAGGGATGGTGGGAGATGTCTTATCAAAGAGCTGGATCAAGCAAATGTTTCCCACAGAAAGATGGGTTACTTCCTTCAGAGGGAGGCTTTTGAGCCTGTTCTTTTCAGATGACAAAAGGGTGCATCTAAGCTGTAGAAATAATGCAGTTTGACACCACTTATAAGTGTTGTAGCTCCATTCTATGGAATCCTGAGGTTTGCAGTTTTGCAACATCTTTAGCCTTCTTTGCCAAAGAGTGCTTGTGCCCCACAAAACTACAAACCGCAGGATTCTGTTGGATAGAGCTATGGCAGTTAAAGTGGTGTCAAACTGCATTACTTCTATGGTGTAAATGCATTCCAAATAGGGAGTGAGGTTATTCCCCCCCCCCCATGTTTCTCATTCCTCAACAGTCTCCTATGTCCCATGGAAAGCTGTTCTGGAGGATTAGAGAACATCTGGAACAGTGAGGTTAGTGGTGCTGGGGCCAGGAGCTAGGGAAATTGATGGATTTTACTTCCACCGCCACTTTAGAATAAAACACTTCTTGCAAGTGTTTCTATCAGTATAATAGTGTAATGGTAATAAAATATTGTGGCTCAAGTCCGTTGTATGCATCAAGGGTAGACAAGAGTTTTCCCTGTGGAAATTCCAATTTAGGAAGGAGATTGCGGCCTGGTTTTCACCTTTGGATGTGGTTTAAGGGCATGAGTTGGATTTAGAATAGTTACTGATAAAGTAAAGTGTGCAAAGCTAAGGCCAAATTCTTACCAGTTGGTAATTTTTACCAGTTTGGACATGTTCTCCCAAGCATACAAAACATATCTATTCTTGTCCTCTCAGGAACAAGCCCACAATGCAACAGATTTCAAGTGTGCAAAGCACAGCTCATTTCCATGTGACAGCTTCTTGAGCTGCAAAACACAGCTTAGTTCTATGCAGGGCAATTAAGAAGATGACATTTAAAGACCCAGTAAGCAAATTTGTTGAAATAGTTTCTGGGAAAAAAACCTGTATTCAGTGAAAGTTCTAGTGAATCATCCAAAAGACTTTCTACTTAACCAGGGACTTTGTCTTTTATATTGATATCAATGCATCTTCCATTCTGAGTAGGTGAGACATTTCACCTCCAAATGATTGGATGGGATGCTATCATCCTGATTGGATCATGAACTGCATATGCATTTGATAGTCATGGAGTTGTATTCAGTCCTGCCCATCCATTGATAGAAGTGTCTTTGATCCAATAGAAGCTTCTATAAAATACAAGGGCGAGCCCTCCCTCAAATTATGTAATAATTGTATATTATACCATAATATACAGTAGAAATTAGTCCAGAATTTAATCAAGGAAGAAATTACTGAAGAGAATCACAATGTAACGTCCTTCCCCAAGACTCAAGCTACAGTTGTCCCTCTGTTTTTATGGATTTCAAGTCCATATCCCTCACCCATGGATTCCCACCATTCAGTCCTATTATGGGCTTTGTAGTCCATGTGGGAGAAAATTCCAGGTTGGCGGTAGACAATTTTTAAAGGAAAAAAGAATTTTTGAAGAAGCTAGTAACAAAATATGGTCCCCTATAGTTATCAAGGGCAACATCCATGACATTCTCTGTAAATCGAATTGTCTGGCCCACACCAGGATTTTGGCCAACGCTAACTTAGGGCCTCTGCAGACCAGCCCAAAGTGCCATCCTGTGGGTAGAGTTGGGGCAGAGCAGCTGCACGCCGGCCACCCCAACCCCACGACAATGCTGTCCTGACGCTGCGCACCATTACGCACGATGCGTAGCATCATGACACCCTCCCGGCACAGCGTTTAAACACGCTGTGCTGAAAGGGCAAGGAAGAGCCATGGCGCCAGCTCTTAGGGTGGCCTTTTGCCGCCCGTAAAAGGAGCGGCATTTTGCCAGTCTTTTCAGGGAAGCAAAAGGGAGGACCGGGGCAATAGCGTGGGGTTGCCACGGCCCTGATCCACTGCTTCCTGGGGCGGCTCTGTGCCACCTGTCTGCAGAAGCCCCACGTGAATTAAATGTTTTCAGTTATTAGTACTGAATTTATTTTCCAATTTCTAACATTTATCATTTTCAAATTATTTTTCAGACCTGATATTCCAAGTTTTGAGAGAGAGAATTTATTGAACATATACATATACAGAAAACACAGGGTATCCCCTCCATTTCATAACTGGCCAGCTGTCCACAGCAGTCATTTTGTGGTATCATCCACGACACTTTTATAAATCCTTCCGATGTGCCCACAGTTCCAAAATGAAACAAAACAACTTTGAATATTCCTGGTTAATGGCATATGCTAAATGCAGAACATGTCAGGGGATAAATTGTGGTGAATTAACTTTCACAGCTGTGTTGGATGTATACTTCCCCCCTCCTTTGGAAAGTTATACTATTGTAAAACTGGGATGATGTCACTGTATCAAGTTGCTTCAACTAGTTGACTCTAGATCTTCCATTTTGCAACATAGATTTTGAAGAATCTATAACATAAAAACCTAAGTTACAAGGAAGTGTTTCTCCCCTTTTTCTCATTAAAAAGTCACACAAGGAAGTCTGCAATGCAGAGCAGGGGGCATAGCTAAAATAACTGGCAATCATAAAACAGTGGAAGAAAAAAGTATGTGGCTGAGCCATTATGTCCTGCCCTAAAGAGGACAGTCTTCTATTTGGAGACATTTTGTTTTGAAGGGCTATCAAGTCCAAAGGGTAGCTTTGTAATGAAGGCCAGCCCAAGACGTTTTCTTGCCTATGGTGTAACATCCACCCAAAACAAGATACATAGCACCCTTTCATCTGATCAAAGCAAATAATAATAACACATTAAATAAGTATTTGCTGTACTTTCATGATAGCTTACATCAATTGCCAGCATGAGGGGATCTCTTCAGGCTCTGATTCCCAGGGTCAGCCCTTGTACTGGCCTAGCTTAGTAATACTAGGAGAACATCTAACTGACAATGCATTTGTTGCTGTGTGCTTTCAAGTGGTTTCTGACTTATGGCAACCCTAATGTGAATCTATCTGCTAAACAGATTGTCCTCTCAACTTGCTCCTTCAAAGGTTTGCCAAGGCACATTAGATTCTGTTAAATGGCAAATCTTTCATTTTGAACAACCTCTGACCTGTGTTAGATTTAAGATCTCCTCCAACATTGTTTATCTCCTGTATCCATTTCTTTACAAGCTCATTATAGACTTATTCAGGAACTATTGTGAAACATGGGCCTTGGGAAATGGTCAACATTATTGGGCAGAGGTGGGGTGAAATCTAATCTAATGCTCTCAAAGTCAGAATATTATTATTCCTGTTTTCTACTCATTTTTTCTCCCAAGTCACACATGTGCATGATTTCTTTTCACCCCACCCCCATTAATGGCCTTCAAAGTCAGGTATATTTAACTTTTTGGATCACCTTTATTTATTTTTATTTCTCTATTGATTAAAATATTTACATCCTGCCCTCCATCCAGAGATCTCAGGGCAGTGTACAACAAAACTGATCTGAGAATTTAAAGATGTGAATCATTAAAATAGTTTTAGAAGGCTCAAGCATATTAAACAACTTAACAAGTTAAAAAGACACACAAGAGTTAAGATAGTTTAAAACAAGTCTCAGGTAAAGTTGCATTGCATTGTTAATGAAAACATTGAATCTTTTCCTTTACATTTTAATTGGCTAACTGTCTTGAGCCAAATGATTTAAACGTCATGCTTTAAGTAGAACCTGA